AGGATGGTTCTCTTGGACCAGAGGTCTCCAAACTTGGCCACTTTAAGACTGGTGGACTTCAACTCCCAGAATCCCCCAGCACCAGCAGAGCTTACTCTCTTGCGATCCCTTCCTCTGCAATCTCTTCTCTTTGCGGGAGAGGAGAAAAAGAAAGAGACACGACTGGCTGGCTGGCTGGGGAATTCTGGGAGTTGGAGTCCACAAGTCTTCAATTTGCCAAGGTTGGGGCCCCCTGCTTTGGTGTCTTTCTTCCCCACTGGGATGCTTTTCTGTAAACTGAATTTTTAAAAACTAAACCAATGGAGGGAGGTTGCCTTTTTGGAGCCCGGGCAAGTCCAAACGTCTCTGCTCATCCGCTGGCTCTGCCCCACAGACTCGGCCCGCTCCTTCATGAAGCGCAGCCACCTGGGACAGTACAATAAGGAGGAAATGTCGAAGAAGGAGTCCGAGTTGGAGCAGAAGCTGGTGGAGGAGAAAGCCCTGGCAGAGGCCATTTCCGTGGGGGCCAGGTGTGAAGTGCGGGTATCGGGGCAGCCCAACAAACGGGGGACAGTCATGTACGTGGGTGAGTATTCGCAGGACTTCCAGGTCCCAGAAGTGCTTTCCAAAAGGCAGCTGGACATTTGTTGGTTTTATTTATATTTTATTTTATTTTTTCTTTGAAAACGTTTAGCCTCTCATCCAAGAAGCTTCTCACGACTCCTTCTTTTGGGTTTTCACAGGCTTAACAGAATTTAAACCTGGTTACATGGTTGGGATCAAGTATGACGAGCCGTTGGGAAAACACGATGGCAGGTAAATTCCCTCTTTGTTCTGTTGTTGGCCTTGTGGATGTCCACAGCCCCCCACTCTTGGGAAGGGGGGGGGCGGTTCCTGAGTTCCTGGCTGGGAAAAATAGAGTCCACGGGGGGGGGGATTTTTATTTATTTTATTTATTAATCAAATGTGGCAACTTTTTAAGACTTGTGGACTTCAACTCCCAGAATTCCTTGCTGGGGGATTCTGGGAGTTGAAGTCCACAAGTCTTAAAAAGTTGCCAAGTTTGGGGATCCCAGACTTAAACCAACATAAGTTTGCCTGAAATAGGATTGGTCTAGAACAGGGGTCGCCAACCTTTTGGGCCTCAGGGACCACCAAACTCATAATTTTAAATCCCGGGGACCACTAATATGAATTTCGACTGACAGCTTGCTGACGGTGGGAGAGAGAGAGAGATCTGATCTAACCTCTGTCTTTCTCCCCCCCCCTCTCTCTCTCACTCACACACGCACACGCACGCACACACACACAGAGGCAGGGGTGGCATTCGAATTTTTTAACAACCGTTTCTATGGGCATGGCCTAATTTGTGGGTGTGGCTTGGTGGTCATGTGACTGGCTGGGCATGGCTTGCATGTAAATATTATAAATATTTATATAAATATTGATTTTTTTATTAAAAAAAGCAACTTTTACCCAAAATCAGGCAAAGCTGTCAGGCAGATTGAGTTACTCACAGAATCATTCAGTGATCTATCTATCTGCCATCGGCTAGCTCAGTCTGTTACATAAAATTTGCTTGCCGTGAGTCTGCACTGAATCATAGAACCTTCAGTCCTAAGGGAGGTTCGGCTGTGCTTAAAAGCAGAGCGGAAGATCTAAAGACTGGCTAGAAAGCAAGAAATCCAGCCATTTCCTGCTTCCTAGCTAAGCTAAATCTCTGGACACAGCAGAACCGATGATGGTCGGAAAAAGGAAAAATAGCAGCTTAGCAGGCAGGTTTGCCAGGTAAGGAGTGAGTGGGCGGGGAGGCTCAGGCCATTGCAGGTTAATGTCATTGCAGACTAGATGGCTGTCCAGTCTCCTTAAAATCTCTTTCGGTGGGATTAAACGTTACTGTAGTTTATCAAAATATAAAATACAGAAATGAAAATAATGGGAAAATAGGGGAAGGAGAAGGGGAGGAAGAGGAAAAAGCGTAAGGTAAAGGAGGAAAGAAAAGGAAAAACATGGACGTCCAACTCCTTTTCGCACAGTAGAATAAGGCAACAATGTAAAACCTTGGCTTTTTTTTACTTTCCTATAACAATATCTGCTAGTCATTTCTGTAACAACAAACCTACCTTGTCAGCAAAACCCCGAATCCATTTTTTCCACCTCAAGCATGAAGTCCAAAAGCGGTTTCCAAATAGAAACAAAACCTTTAAAAAAAATTTTTTTTTTCAAATCTGCTGCCTTGACTTGACAGCATTTGGTCCATTTGCTCATTTGGTGTTTTTTTCCTTCTTTCCTTTCCTCTTTTCTTTCCCTTCTTCCTTTTTTTTCCTCTTTCTTTTCCTCTTTCCTTCCTTCCTTTCCTTTTTTCTTTTCTTTCCCCTTTCCTTTCTTCCTTTTTCCTTTCCTCTTTTCTTTCCCCTTTCCTTTTTCTTTCCTTTCCTTTCTTTTTCTTTCCTTTTTTCTTTCTTCTTTTTCTTTCCTCTTCCCTTTCCTTTCCTTTTTCCTTTCCTCTTTTCTTTCCCTTTTCCTTTCCTTTTCTTTCCTTTTTCTTTCCTTTTTTTCTTTCTTCCTTTTTTCTTTCCTTTCCCTTTTTCTTTTCCTTTCCTCTTTCCTTTCTTCTTTCCTCCCTTCCCCTTCTCCTCTCTTCTCCTTCCCTTCCCCTTCCCCTTCCTCCTGGACAGTGTCAACGGCAAGCGATATTTTGAGTGCCTGCCGAAGTACGGAGCCTTTGTGAAGCCCCAGTGCGTCGTCGTGGGGGACTTCCCGGAGGAGGACTATGGGCTGGACGATGAAATGTGAGGGGGGGGGGCGGACGGGAGGAAGGAAGAAGTGGAGAGGATCCGCGGGGCTTCTGCTGGCTGGCAGACACCCCCCCACCCCTCGGTTGCTGTGGTTTCCGCAGTGTGTCTCACTGCGCCCTGATCCCGAGGGGTGGGGTGGGGCTTGAGTGAAGGACTGTGTGTGTTTCGATGTGTTGGTTGTTTGTCCCTTTGCCCTGGTTGTCTCTGTTCAGTGAAGATGCCAACGTCTCCATGCCACCCCCACCCCCCATAGGTCAGTAGCAGAGAACCCGAATGGCTTTGATTGTAGTCCCCCTTTGGGGGGAAAGAGATACAGGGTGACGTCTCCCCGAATTTCCCGTCGCAGCCAGTGGAAACTTGAGACGCAGGATTCAGAACACAAGATGTACGCACCCAACTCTGGTTTCAACCAAACACACGAATCTAAACCGAATCATTTTGATGAACATGCTTTCTTTCTTTCTTCTTTTCATTGTGGGTCTTTGTGGTTCCGTTTTTGTGCTGCTGGAAGATGCTTCTGTGATCATTACAAATTAAAAGTTTTGGAGGGCGGGGAGTCAGATACATTCCAGACAAGCGTGCTTCGGTGTGAGTTTCTTTTTTCTCTCCAGGCCAGCGAAAACAGGCAAATGGGGAGTGTGTGTGTGTGTGTGTGTGTGTGTGTGTGTGAGTGAAACTTGACTTTTTCTTCTGCAAGGGGTACCTAAAGCAACATGGGCGGTGGTGGGATTCAATTTTTTTTTACTACCGGTTCTGTAGATGTGGCTTGGTGGGCGTGGGAGGGGAAGGTGCCAGGATTCCACCAATCGCCCTCATTAAATCATGATCCTTGAGCCAAACTTCAAAAACCTTCCAGAGATTCATTAGAGGCGACATCCTGGCCCCCTGCCCTGTGTGAAGCCAACTCTGGCCCATGTAATTTACAGTCCCCTGTGACTCTGTTTTCCCACCCTCCACCCTGGGTGTGTCATAAATCAGATTTTCCAACTGAGCACCTTCACGGGCTGGGTGTCCTCATTCACGTTCTCCAATTAAATATATTGGGGGGCAAAAACTCTGGTAATTTAGTTACAATCTTTGAAAGATAAAGAGTTGGAATGTACTTTCGCTTTCAGCTGCTCTTCCAGATTTCTTCTCCCCCCCCCGCCCTTTTTTTAATGGCAAGTACTAAAACAGGCAGTTGACAGAAGGTTACTGCAAAATCCCCCTTCCCTCCTCCACCCCACTAACCTGCTTTCCAGCTCCTTCTCCTGTGCAGGGCAACCAAAGGAGACCCAGCCGATCAGCTGGGACTCAGTGGGAGGCGGAGAAGAGATGGGGTTGGCGGGGCCAGTCGGAGGTGGGATTGGCCGGTTCTCTGAACTACTCAAAATTTCCATTCCCGGTTCTCCAGAACTGGTCAGAACCAGCTGAATGCCACCTCTGAACACGGGTGCTTTTGATTGGTCCAGTGCCATCAAATTGTTTGCCACTTATTTATCCACATCTCTACCCAGATAGCAAGTCTACAGAGAACGGGCAGGGATAATAGCGGTTTCATCGCCTGACCCCTCTCTGTGGGCCAGAGGCTTGACCCCTGAAGGCAGGGCCTGGTCAGGCCAAGACCACCCACCACGGCCCTGCCCTTTCGTGCGTCAGATGCTCTGGGGCAGGGGTCTCCAACCATGTCAACTTTAAGCCTGGCAGATATCAACTCCCCGAAAGCTGGCTGGGGAATTCTGGGAGTTGGAGTCCACCAGGCTTAAAAGTTGCCAAGGTTGGAGACCCTTGCTCTGGGGCACTAGTACGTTCCCTAGCCCAGGGGTCTCCAACCTTGGCAACTTTTGAGTTGTGGACTTCAACTCCCAAAGTTCTTCAGCCAACTTTGCCCGGGAGGAACTCTGGGAGTTGAAGTCCACAACTCTTAAAAGTTGAGTTCTGGGAGTTGGAAGTCCGCAAGTCTTAAAGTGGCCAAGGTTGGAGATCCCTCCCCCTTGCAATCTTAGTGGCTTTAAAACAGGTGGACTTCAACTCCCAGAATTCCCCCGACCCGTTTTCCTGGCTGGGGAGGCGGGGTCCCGGGAGTCGAAGTCCACTCGTCTTAGTGGCCCATCTGAGAAATCCCGCCCCTCCCTCAAGAGGCTTCCTGGCAACGCCCCCAGAGCGGCCGCCAATGGGAAGCGAGTCGAACGCGGAGAAAGGTCTCAACGTTCTATCCGGCCACGTGGGCGGGGTCAGCTTCCCCGCCAGCACCGGCAAGTCGGTGAGCCGAACACGCAGGGCTCAAAGCGCGCGCGGGGGGGGTGTGTGTGTGTGGCTGCAAGGGTCTTTGCACCCTTCCCCTCCTCGGGTGGGACGGGGGATGTCCTGGAGGGTCGGTCCCGCAGTTCGGACGCTTGGGAAGCCTTTTCACGTGCGTTAAAGCACGTGAAGCTCCCGGGCGGGTTTGCACGTGGGAAGGGCCCGACCGCGCAGGAGGCAGCTCCGTCTGGGCAGCCCAGGACCCCTCGCCGCTGGAAAGGCCGATCGGCTCTGTCGCTGCTCCGGCTTCATGGCCAGGCACAGCCGGCTTCAACGCGAGGTGCTCGGCCTCTACCGGCAGTTCCTGCGCGCCTGCCGAGGCAAGCCGGGCTTCCTGCCGCGGGTGCAGGCCGAGTTCCGCCGGGCGGCCCGCATCCCGCGCACCGACGTGCTGCTCATCGAGTACCTGCTGCGCCGCGGTCAGAGGCAGCTGGAGCAGCTCCGGGAAGGGCACGCCACGAGGATGGGCTTCTTCGCCCCGGGGAGGCTGCAGGAGCAGGAGAAAGGAGAGGACGCGCAATCCTGAAGGGGAGGATCGCTCTTCGTTGGGGCGCAGCGATGCCCGCTCTTGCTGCAGCAAACCCGGAGCGGCGGAGGGCGGGGAAGCCCCCCCCCCCCTGTTTTACAAAAGCGTCCGCGAAGGAGGCTACCGAGAAGAGGCTGGTCTCTCCGGAGTTACGTGGTGTGCATTTGAAACTAGCATTTGCAGCTTGAAGCTTTGCAGGAGAAGATTGCGTGGCTCCCCAGTCAGCCCCATCCCTCCTTGGTGGGAGGGGGACAGCCGTCACCAATGCACGGGACCCCCGGCAAGCTTCCTCTTGGCACTCTTGCCCCGGTATTATACTGAGGGCCCCTCCTGCAGGGATCCCTTCCAAACCTGGTGTAAACCTCCTACACGGGGGAGAAAGGTGGGGGGGCATCCACAATGGTTGTGAAAATGGACACGGGTTGGTTTTGGGTCAACCTTCCTCCACCTGGAAGTTTTGAGACAGCAGAAAAAAAGTTTTGAGCACTGAAAGGCTTCCCCCCCACACGCACACTCTTAAAACACTCCAAAATAAATAATGTTAAATCTTTGCAACCAGCACAAGTTCTCTTTTGACAATACTGACTGCTGACCGTTACCTGGATTTTGTTTTTGTTCGGTTTAACACGTTTCCCTGTATTTATTAATTGCATTCTATTGTTATTGTTTCAATCTGTGAAGGGAATGGAGGCTTTTGAACAAAAAATCAAAACTTACTGCTAATTTGTATGCAGTATTTCGGTTGTGCGTGGTGGACGATTCTAGCATTTGCAACAACGAAGTTAACATCATGGTATAATAAACAAGTTCCACTCCAGCGCTTTAGGAATCTTAAAATTAAGATGTTATGTCTCTCCAGGACAGAAGAATAAATTAATTGAAAGAAGTTCCTGGGATTAATTTCTGCTCCCAATTTTATTTATTTTGCATATGGCAAATACATGGACTTATAGTGGTTCAAATGTTAATGTCCAAATGTTAGTGTAATTTTTCCCCCAATATTAAATGAACTTTACTTCTACAGCATTTTAATCTGCCTGAAAACTCTATGCAAGTTATAAATGCGTAATAATGGAAGGTGGAAATACGACTACATGTCCTGCGGCTACGAATCTCACCATATCAGGCAGTGGTGTCCTTTGCAAGCTGACACAAGAAAGTTCAGTGTGTGCTCAAGACGCACCCGCTCACCCAGGAGTGGATTTTCCTTGTGGGTACAGAAGGCTTAGAAACCAGGGATGTGAGTTTTAGTCCCGCCTTAGGCATGAAAGCCGGTTGTGCATTAACAAAAGTGCACAACTATCAAGGCTCCAACGTGCACCCCCATTCAAATCATAAGTCTCTAGCCACATCTCTCAGAGTAAAAAAGATTTATTAGGGGTTGACATTCCTGGTTGAAGCCGATTGACACCTCATTCATTTCCCCCTTGACCCTGGCCTTCCCCACCCCCAGATGTATATTCTCCAATGAGACACATCCATAGCCAAGAGTCATCAATCATGCTCTCCAGTAATAATCTTGCGTGCCAACAGCTTCGGCCTGCCATAGCAATTATCGGAAGCATTTAAAGAATGCACTGCTTTCCCCCTCTCCTTTCTGCTGGCAAGTAAAAAGGCCAAAGAAATATTTTTTTAGTTGACACAAACCACCTCACAGGGTTTTTTTGGTGGGGAAAATAGGAGTTAGGAGGGGCAGGTTGTGATGATCATTTAAAGGTTTTATTAGAGACTCCACTTTCCATCAAATAAAGGTTTTACAGGCAATCCTCAGCCCAAAATTTCTGTTGCTAAATGAGATTGTTAAGGGGTTTTTGCTTCATTTTATGGCCTTTTTTGCCACCGTGGTTAAGTGAATTGCTGCATTTAAGTTAGTAAAATGGATGTTAAGCAAATCAGGCTTCCCTGTTGACTTTTGTCACAACGGGATCACAGGACTCCGGGATTCTGCAACCGTCATAAATATGAGTCAGTTGCCAACTGGTGGAATTTCGATCAGGTGCTGCAACTGTCGTAAGTCACTTTTTTCTGTGCTGTTGTAACTTCGGTCACCAAATGAATGTTTTTAAGCTGAGGACTCCGTATATAGTTAAACATTAGGACAGGAGTCCCCAAACTTGGCAATTTATAAGACTTGTGGACTCTGGGAGTTGAAGTCCACAAGTCTTAAAAGTTGCCAAGTTTCGGGACCTCTGTAATTTAAAGAGACAACTTGCAAAGCTGGCCTTGAAACTTCGGTTACTGGTCCCTGTACTCACTACTGGCACGTAATCAACCTGCACAAAAGAATATCCACCCACCCCCCATTAATGAAAAGGCCCCATTTTTCATGCGAAGACCTAAAAAATGAGAATGATTTTCCATTGGATCAGTGGCACTTTTTGCAGTTCTGGGCAAGAAGCCCTGGATATTCACTTGGACCACTTTAAGGAACACCTTGCAGTGAGATACATGTGAACGCAGCCCGCGTGTCCAGGTTGGGGGAGTCTTGTTCCAACTTTGGCCTCCTATTCCAGGAAGAACTACATCTACCAGAATGCATTTCCACCCGACCACTGCAAGGGCTGGAGGCGGTGGCTGCGAAATGATGGGCAAGGCTCAGCCCGCCTCTTTTTAAACAAATAGCAGCCTCAGCCAGTGACTTTTCGAGCAAGGAGAGCTCGTATCCGCAAAGAGGCGCCGCTGGCTCGGAGTGACAGCCCAAGCGGCCTATCAATGCTAGTTCCGCCCACCGCGCCTGACGCGACTGGAGACCGAGGTGTCCGATCCCCAGAGCGGCTCCTGGGCTTCTTCCTCGCCATGGCGTTTGGCGGCGGTTGGTGGGGACGGGCCGCGGCGCGGGCCAGGAGAGCCGGCGGGCTGCTAAGGGGAGAGGCCTGGCCGTGGCTACGGAGGCCGGCGAGGCCCAACTCCGGACGCGGCGCGCCACTCCCGCCCGCTTCGGAACTGGACAAGGCAGACGCCTGGCTACTCCGCAAGAGTCACGAGACCGGTGAGGAAGAGGGGGCGGGACCGGCGGGTGACGTCACGGGGCGGGGCCACTTACCTGGAAGCTGGGTGGGGCTGCTTGCCTGCGGGGCGTGATGGGAGTTGTAGTCCCTCAAAGTTGGCCTCCCCCCCCTCATCAGCATATAAAAATATATGCACACATTAAAAATAGAAAAATTGATAGCAGGTCAATAGCTTAAGATCAAATTAGTATACAGCCAAAACTTTTTCTTAATATTATATATTAATATAATACAATTTATAATATAACATAATATAATAATTCAATGCCTGTAATATTGGCACCCTGAATTGCAATGAATCCTGTTGAATTTTTTTTACTTTTTAAGTTAATTTAATAGTAGAATATAACCTCTAATCGTGTCATATAAATATCGTGTTTGTCTAATAAAAACTTAAATAAAAAAACATTGTACTGAGACAATGCAAGATATCAAGATTTATTTAAAAAAAATAATGAATTACATCTGCTCACGTATCCTACTTCCTCCCTCCCTCATGTTTTAGTTGTAGTGGATAATTTGTATATTTATAGTGTTTTATTCATGCTGTGTACTTGTTGTATTGTTTTGAATATTGTATGGCCCCCAAGAGTAACTTCGTGACCAGATGGGCAGCAAAACTTTAATAAAATTAATAAGTAAATAAATAATGAACAGGAAAAAACAAGAAACAGTGTTCTGTGTGTGGCCTCTTGAAATACCCGCCCCAGAACACCCTAAATTTTATAGATAATGTTACATAAATGGATGATAGATAGTTTAAGAGATGGATGGATGGGTGGATAGATAGATGATATAGGTATAGATAGAAATAGGTGGAGGAAGGTGTGTTGGATAAATAAATGCACTAGATAGATAGATCGATCGATCGATCGATAGATATGAGAAAGATGTTAGGTAAGTAGGTAGATGGATGATAGGTAGGTGGATAAAGGTAGATGGATAATAAGTAGGTAGATAGGTAGATGGATGAGAGAAAGATGAGAGGGATGAGAGATCAGTAGGTAGGCAGGTAAATGAGAGAGATGAGAGAGAGATGACAGACAGACATGATAGTTTAATAGAGCAGGCATAGATGGCTAGATGAAAGACAGGTAAACGATGGACAGGCTGATAGATGATTGACAAGACAGGCAGACGGACAAAGATGCCGGATGGAGGGGAGTGGATACGCAGAGCTGATGGCGCCCTCCTCCTTTCTGCTTTTCCTTCAGCCTTCCTGTCCTGGTTTCGGAATGGGCTGCTGGCCACGGGCATCGGCGTGATTTCCTACATGCAGAGCGACATGGGGCGGGAAGCGGCCTACGGTGAGCACCCCGTCCCCAGGATAACCGGAACGAGGCCAGGCCCGTCCACCTTTTCCTCCTAGCGTAGCTAAGGACGCGTCTCTTGTCTTTCTCTGTCCATGTTTCCTCCCTCAGGCTTCTTCATCCTCGGCGGGATCTGCGTCTCGTACGGCAGCGCCTCCTACTTCGTCAGCCTCCTCCTCCTCCGTCGCACCATGATGCTCTCCTTCTCGGCCGCCCTCTTGAACTCGGCCGCCGTGGTGAGCGTGGCTCTCTTCTGGCTCTGCGCCATCTCCCTCTACATCGGCCGGCTGGAGGTGGAGATCATCCAGGAGGACGTCGGCGAGAAGAGGAAGGAGAACGGCAAGGCCGAAAAATGAAGGGCTGGAGCGGCTCTTCAGGACTCGACGAGACAACCGTACGGACAATTCGGAAGGGACAGCTCCACGGTGGTTGGGTCGGAGGGGACCACGGAAGAAGGAAGGAAGGAAGGAAAGTTGGCTAGTTCTCCTGAACGCGAGAGACAAGTGGAAGGAAGCGTGGGGCTTTCAACTAATTTCAGATTTATCGGCTGGGAGGGCAAGGAAGGAAGGAAGGGGCTCTGCAACCTTCCTTGGAGCAAATGTTTGCTACTCGGGAGCATGAATCCTCGCTACTTAAGGATCTTTGACGCTTTTCATGAGTGGGCCTGCTTTGCAAAACCCTCTCTGCTTTGACTCTGCTTTCTGGTTTCAGGGGTGTGTGTGTGTGTGTGTGTGTGTGTGTGTGTGTATAAAAGCCCATTTTCTGGATGTCTTCTGCATAGCTTGCCTTGGCTTGGCCATTCTCGCTTATACTCCAGACTCGTTCTCCGTTTCGTTTCTGTCGTTGGGCCGGCTGGTGCTCTGATTAGTGGACATTTAGATTAAAGACCCTCAAAGAAAGTTGTGTATTTTCTAGGGTATTTTTTTATGTGTGGGTGGGTGGGAGAAGGGAGCGGGAGGGGGGGCTGTTTTGAAGGTGCATTTGGGAAATAATAATTGCCATTATTCTCACCTGCAAGGGAGATCTTCAGGTGGGCAGAGGGAGCCTTGTGGTTCGCTGGCAACAGGTGTAGACGGCTGAGGTCTCGGAGAGCGAGGACTCAAATGAGGGGCCTGCGTGTGATGCAGGAATTGGGCCAGGACCATCAGGGAGTGGAGTGCTGCCTTCGGAGATGGTGGAGGCTGGCAGCAGTGAGGAAGAGCACCCCGAGGAGCCTGTGCCTAATGCACATGCGCAGTGCTGCTCAAAGGAAAGAGCATCTGCAGCAGCACGGACCACTTAAGAGTAAGGCTGCAAGGTGATGGCCCCTCCCTTAAGGGATAAAAGCCAGCCCTCAGAGGTGGGACTCTTTGCAGGAAGCAAAGAAGTTTCCAGCCCTTGTGGAAGTTTGACTCTCCTGGTCTGTGTTGGTGACTTTTGGTTTTGATCATTTCCTTACGATTTAGTGTTCTTGGCAGCCTTTTGCTCTTATCTGGGACAATTCGTTTTAATAGCATTTTTACTGTGAATGAACGGAATCCACAGGGAAGCATTAAAAACGGTTTTGCTTTTATCTCTTGTTTGGTGTTTGTTTGCTTGGAAGGAGGCTTGGGTCACAACTCTTTGAAAGGCAGATAGTCCTTGATTTACAACAGTTCATTCAGTGGCTGTTTGAAGTACAACGGGACTGGGAAAAGTCTGTCAGGACAGTCTTTTCACCCTTACAACTGTTGCAGCTTCCCTTAGGTTGTCGAAAGGGGCAAAAATCCTGAAATATCTCACTTAGCCACAGAAATGTCGGGCTCCGTAGTGGCCGTTAAGTCAGTGACTCCCTGTGGCAGAGCCACAAACCTTGCTGGCATCGTCTCTGGAGGGGGAGAACAGTTAGTGCAGTTAGAGCTGGCTCTCTGCCTCCCCGTTTACGGCGATCCCTTTAAATTTCACCCATTTTTGAATGGCGGGGAGCTCACTTGAGAAATGTGTGTGATCCAAATCGGTTGTCCTTTTTTTCCATAAAATGAGGCTCGTTTGGGTTCAATCCTCAGGATCTGGTCCTTTTAAGGGCTTTCTGACAGCTGGGGAGGACCTCTACGGAGATTCTCGGTCATTCCAGGTCGTGGTTGTCACAAAAGTGCTTTTTTTCCCCCTAAGAGGCAACTGGACTTTCTGGTTTTTCTTTGAAGATGTCTCCCTTCTCATCCAAGGAGCTTCTTCAGCTCTGATTGGATGGTAAGGAATGGAAGGATTTATACTCCTCGCAGACCGCTGGTCATTTGCATCCTTTGAGAGGGTCCTTGAGGCCACTTGGAGGTTTATCTGTGTCCTCAGGGTCACCTGAATGGTGCAAATGGGTGTCACTACAACCACCGTCCTTTCAGCAGTTCCAAGAAGGCTCCAGACCCATTTGCACCACTCAGGTGACCCCGAGGACACAGATAAACCTCCAAGTGGCCTCAACGACGGTCTCTAAAAGTATGCAAATGACCAACTGCCTGCAAGGAAGATAAATCCTTCCATTCCCCGCCATCCAGTCAGAACTGAAGAAGCTTCTTCAGATGAGAAGTGAAACATCTTCCAAGGAAAAAAACAAAGTCCGGTTGCCTCTTGGGAAATTACTTTTGGGAGTGGGGGGGGGGGGGGAGGGGCTTGGTTGATCACTAAGGGTCAGGAGGATTACTTTGGTTAATTAATCCAGAAGAGGAATCTGTTAAGGACAAAATCCAGACAAGGCACACGACCAAAAAAGCTTTCCCGGTCTGCTGAAATGATTTTAGAAGGCAGGAAAGAATTCTTGTTTATTTTTTTTAATGTTCTCTCAAGTCCCGGATTGCCAAAAGAAACTGCAAAATGTCAACAAGAAATTATAGCTACCCGAAGCGAACAGTAGATTAATAAAAAGAAAGAAAGAAAAAGAAAGAAAACCACGGACACGTACAGCTCTTTAGCAACGAGTTATAGAGGGACGGGGAGGAAAAATTCACATTATCCAAGTGCTACAATCGTCGGTGGGCGCCGTCCGTTTCCCACTGACACGAACAGGTAAGTCCTTGACTGACGGCCACACTTCAGCCTGAAATCTCTGCTGCTGGGTGAGGTGTCGAGAGAGCTTTGCCCCATTTTTACGGCCTTCCTTGCCACCGTCGTTAAGGGAATCCCTGCAGCGGTTAAGTTAGTAGCGTGCTTGTTCAGCGAACCGGGCTTTGCTTGCCAGAAGGTTGCAAAACAGGATCGCGTGATGCCCCCGGGACTCTACGACCGTCGTAAATACGAGCTAGTTGCCAAGGGTCTGAATTTGGCTCACACGTGACCAGGGGGGAGGCTGCAACGGTCGTTAAGTGTGAAAAACGGTCGTTCGTCACTTTTTTCACTTTGAAAGTCACTAAGGTGGTACGCGGAGGACTGCCCATGCAATTTATTTTTGTATAAGTGCTTAAAATTACAGCGTTTTCTTTCTTTAACAGCTCCAGTGCCATCTTCACCCGCGTTGCCCTGACTTGCCTCTTTTTCTAAGCCAGCTTGAACCCGAGCCCAGCCCTTCTCATCTGCTGCTGGGTCTTTAACAGAGGAATTGGGGAAAGGATTGAAGAGGGTTTTTTGCATAAAAAGAGGGATAAAAGTACCTTTATTGGGGGCGGCAGGGGGGGCAGAGATCCAAAAGGCAACCTAGAATTGGATAAGTGCCAAAAAAAAGGCCTCAAGGTGTATCTTAATAAAGAGGCGGCATTTTGCATCCGTTCAGTTGCTGGAGAGCTAGAACAACAAACTCTTATCAAACGAACGGAGCAAGGGTTAATTTGATATCACTGGAAAACCACCTCCCCATCCAGGTAACGCATTGGGTGACGCGTGTATGACAGGCAACGTTAAGACCTGAGGACTCCAATTCCCAGAATTCCCAGCCAGCCTTTCCACAAGTCTTAAAGGTGGCTGGCTGGGGGATTCTGGGAGTTGGGAGTCCACAGGTCTTAACGTTGTCCAGGTTGGACATCTCTGGTGTAGGAGACAGATAGGCAGAGCCTATGGGTGCAGTCAAAGAGAGGAATCCCCTACCCCAAAGATCAAGGTCAACGTTATCTGCAAAATCCAAGTTGGAAAAAGTTTGCCCATTCGCACAGCAAGACCATGAGGCCACCTTCCTAGAAGGATCAATTCGCACAACTTTCTCTCACGTTGCCTTGATGGATCCTCGCGGCGTCCTGATATGGATTCGTCCCTATTGCATATTTCAAGGATTAATTCAATGGGAGCAAAACAAGTGAACTGCTGGTGTGACAGGATGGAATAAGCACATCGAGGCGTGGCATTGCAGGCAACGGCGGCCAACTTTTCATATGGCACATAAATGCGGGTTATATTTGACCACCGACACCCCTCCCCCTTTCCCCAAGTTTTTTAAAACTAGTCAAGTTCTAGCAGCAGGAACACAGGTACGGAAGTGCGTGGGAGATGCCCCTCAATAGGTCCATGGGCCTTTTTTCTTGGAAGTTTGGATAGATTTCCCGCGTGTCTCCAAGCAAAACCCTCCGCCAATCACCCCATTTCAATCAACCACCGATCTTTAGAAGATGCTGATGGGCCATCCGCTCTCCTTCGCGCTGAGGAGTAGGAAAGGGATGCGATGAGCAGGTACGTAGGTAGGTAGTAACTTCTTCCGGGACTAAAATATTTCTTCCCCCGGGCTTCGAGAAGGTTTGGGAGCACCCCAGCACCGAACTGAGCCATCTCAAGATCTGATCGTTCTCTTCCAGGCCAGATTCAACCGTGGTTCGCTGGGCCAAGACGACACCGGTTTGATCGCGGACCCCCGATGGGCGCTAATCCTCCTTGCGTTCCAGAGCTGACCCACTGTGGATCCCCCCACTGGCCACAGAGAAGGGCAGGGTGGAAAACAAAGAGTCCGTGGCCGCAAAGGCTCCCCCAGAAATCTGGGCCAAGCTAGCGGAGTTCCCAAACGGGCCCACCATGTTCAGCCGCTGCAGGTGGTGGTACATGATCTCCCGGGAAGTCTTGGCCTCGGCGCTGCTGATGTCCATGAGACTGAGGGGGTGGGCGTGGGAAGGCGGCAGCATGTTGCTCGGCATGGCCAGGGTCACGTCCGCGGGGGCGTAGCGAATGGTACTCGTGGTGTAGAGTCCCGGGGAGCCCGCCGGAGAGCTGGGGTGTGGATTGCCGAGCTGATGCATCAACGGGACGACGACGTTGCTGGTGTGGAATCGCTGGAGAACGTCCATCTCCGTCGGGTAGAGCAGCGGGGTGAAGGGCGTGGCGGTGCCCCGGTCCTCGCAGGGGGAGCCCGAGAGCGGAGGCGAGAGCGTGTCCCCCGAGGAGGAGGGAGGCGCCCGGGGAGAGGCGCTGAAGGGCCCCCCCTTGGCCGGACCGTTGTCCACCTCGGGCGGGGTGAGCACTGAGTCAGGGATGGAGACGTATAAATGCGCGGACGCCGGTCTCACCAGGGGCTTCTCCAGCCGAAGGGCTTTGTTCACGGGGAAAGGGCTGGCCTTCGCCCTGGGACAGGTCCAGAGCCCGGCTTTGGCCTGGAGCCCCTGCTCCGATTTGATGCTGAGGGCCGGGCCGGCTCTGAGGGAGGCGCCCTTTTGGATCTGGATGACAGAGGTGAACTCCGACGTGCAGGGACTGCTGGGGACGATGGTCCTCTGCCCACCAGTCTTGCAACCGTTCACCTTCCTGGGCAGGAGCCCCGTCGGCTGAGGGACCATCTCCGGCTCTGAAGCGCTGCTGCTGCTGTCGGAGTCCTCGGAGCTGCCCAGCGAGGTCTCCTCCTTCCCCTTGGGTTGGGGGCTCTCCGGCGGGAACTCCAGTTTGATCCTCTTCCTGGGAGGGGTCTCTGCGTCGCTGCCGGCCCCCTCCTCTGAGGCCTCCTCCTCTGGGTATTTGGCTTCAGGGCCACTGGGCTTGCTCTCCACCAGGTGGCAGTGCCGCCCCATTTCGGCCACGCTCCTGGGGTAGGACTGGGCCAGGGTCCCTGGGGGTTTGCTCGCTGGGCACGGCTTCCCCCGGTCACTCTCTGTCGAGGGGAGAACAGGGAAGGGTCAACCAGGCAGGGGATTGTGTTCTGACCCAGCTTCCCAAATACGACCAACCCTCTGAAGTGAACTCGAAGATTCCTTTATTAGGAGCGCCAGCAGCAGCCCTGGCGGAAACGTTTCTCTCTCACGGCGGGCGAATAAGCCTGTCCGGTACGGAGATGAATAGTTGTCTGCCACATCTATTCACCTCCTCCCCCTGCCTTTTCTCCCCAGAGCTACGGTGGGGCTTCGCTAGCAGTGGTGACTTTTCCGTCCTAAGGACCGGCTCATAGATTTCCACTGTTCTCTCCTCTCCTCTGCCTTCTGCCATCCATGTATCAGGCACTGGGCCCAGCTGTTCCTCCTCTTCCTCATCAGCCACCTCCAGACCTGGGGGCTGTTGACTCTCCATCTGAGGGCTGACGGACCGCCCAGGCCCCGCCTCTCTCTCGGACAGCTCTCTTCCCTCTTCCCCCTTGGACCTCCCAGGTTGTCCTTACGCTGACCCTGACTCCCACACCACCACCACCTCCTCCTCCTCCTCCTCTGATTTGGCTGCCGGAGGGGCCGGCGGCCCACAAGCCACAACAGAACGCCCCAACCATCCATCTACCTGGCACCAGAGGGAGATCCAAGTCCCTTTACTAACTGGGTGGAAGCACGGACTTTGGTAAGGCCACGCTTGGTATCCGGTGTCCAGTTTTGGTCACCACAATACAAAAGAGATGTCGAGACTCTAGAAAGGGTGCAGGGGAGAGCGACAAAAAAATAAAGCAGACGGGTTCGATCTTGGCAACTTTAAGGCCTGTGGACTTCAACTCCCAGAATTCCCCAGCCAGCAGGCGCTGGCTGGGGAATTCTGGGAGTTGCAGTCTACAAGTCTCCAAGTGGCCAAGTTTGGAGGCCTCTGTGTTAAAAGGGTCTGGAGGCTAAACCATACGACGAATGGTCGCGGGAATTGGGAAGGTCTACACTAAAGACCTTTTCTCCCCCTTCCCCAAAGTCTTCCACCAGCAGGTCACCGTCAAAAGGTTGCACCCCCCCCCCCCCCCTTGCACCTCTTTCCAGGACTTTCACCTTTGAAATCCGTCCCTGCGTTGGGCGCTTCCGTCTGTCTGGCGGGGATGCCAGGAACCTGGAAAATATCCAGAGCGATGTTCTTGCCTTCTGGCTTGCTGGAAAATATTAAAACAAAATATAAACAGCAGGGAGTTATGATTATAATTATTATTATTGTTGTTGTTGTATTTGTTTGCATCACGCTTGTTTTTCTTCTTTTAAATTTGGCTGGTCGTTGACCTCGTCAATGTGATCTGGCTTGAGTCGCCAAGGTCGGACCACCCCTCGGAGGCAGCAAACAGCCCCTTCAGCCGCCCCCTCCCCAGGCTAAAAGAAATGCAAATGGCCTCCAGATTTGCAAAAGTAAGAGGCGGAGGATTAAAATAACCGCTCATTCCACCCGCCTGGGCTCAGCGGAAAGTCCACTTGAATGGGACAGCCACCTGCAGCCGGAAGCAGCCGAAGGAAGGGACGGATGGGCGGGGGAGGGCCGCAGTTGCTCCATTGTCCAAGAACAAACAGAGGCAGATTAGAGAGAGAGAGAGAGAGAGAGAGAGAGAGAGAGAGAGAGAGAGAGAGAGAGAGAGAGAGAGAGAGAAAGAAAGAAAGAAAGAAAGAAAGAAAGAAAGAAAGAAAGAAAGA